GCAGTAATAGTTGTAGTATGAGACATTCATTGTTATGCCCATTTAAATCGTTGAATATTCATCCTTGTTGTCATTGTTACAATTCTTTTAATCAATGTTTTTGTGCATGTTGTTGTTATCGTTGTTATTCGTCATCAGCGTCTGTTGTGACAATATCCCAAAGAGCACGTCAGTGTCTCATCTCATCAGTTCCTTCCAAAAAAGCCGTCAATTTGATCGCCTTATCTCAATACTTTCTATCACCTCCTTCCTCATCGACCGTAATATCAGTGTCAAAGCGACTATTCTGTAGCTCTGCGCATCCTGATCAGCCACAAGCACAACGAAAACCTGATCGCGATTCTGAGATTCCAATTCAACCCAGTCAAACCTCTCATTCCTCTGACACTTCTTGTTGTTGTGGTGATGTTCATGAAACTCGGAAGACGCCGTCCTCGTCTCCCGAACGAAATCAAGAAAAACCCATCAGAAGGCGTCGACGTCCCGTTGACGCTAAGGTCAGCAGTGAATTTTCACATTGATTGTTATTTCATTAATTGGCTGATTAATTGAAAGAATGAACTGTTGATGAGGAGTATGGAATTGTGGGTCACCGGACCTGGTCAAGGATCGCCTGGCCAGGCGAAACTAGAAATATAAGTGTAATAAGTGCCGAATCAGTAGATCTTGGTTCGGCTCGGCGATTCCTAAGTCGATCCAGTAGCCCAGGCTGGGCAGTTTCATCGTCCTTTGTGGATATTCTTTGCTGCTTTACTTTAAATGCGAAGGGAGAGAGTACAAAGAATTAGGTGGGGGTTAAATTTGAACGTTTCTCGCCGCTTGCATTAGATGTTGCATTTGTTTTTCTTGAGCCTTGAGTATTTTTCGTTTGTGAATAAGCGAAACCTGATTCAATGTCAATGGAACGCTGTGTTCAGGCCCGAAAAGCTGCCCTTGATCATTGTGTGGCATTGACGCGGAAACGTGACTTTGCCAATTACCTTGGTACACTGCTGATGCCGGCCGAAGTACAGCCAGCCGTATTTGCGGTCAGTTTTGACGATGCGTATTTTTATTCAGTCTCTGGGAATTTTTTTTGCAGGACTGCTATGAAGTGGAATTGTGAAGAAAATTGGAGCAAAATTGATTTGATTTTGCTTGACTTGTTTAACATCTCATTTGTATCGGAATTAGTACTCGGTTCTATAGAATGATGTCGGTTGTTTTTTTTCTTCAGCTTTTGGCTTTGAATGTCGAGTTGGCGGTGATCAGAGATCAGATTGAGCGTAACTCAGGTACAGCCGGAATTTATCGGTTGCAGTTCTGGAAGGATACACTTGAGACGATCTATGGTGACGCAAAAGGGCCAGTACCAAAGTAAGTTGAGGAGATGTTCGGAACCGAACGAGATGATAGTTTTACTTACTTACTTACTTACTTAATCAGCAATTCAACTCATTACGAGTTTATGCCTCTCTGTTATGATAGTTTTAACATCTGAATAATTATGCAAGTG